TGATACCAAATTGCAAGGAACATGAATATGGAAAGCACAGAAATCTAGATTGCAAAATCACACTGAAGTCCAAGTAGTCAAAGCAAGAGCAGATAGCACAATGGGACCGAGTGACCATCCATTTGAGAATGATACAAAAGAATCGTGAGTCAATGTCCAAGCCCAACAGGGCAACACCAACAGCATAACCCAATGTAGCTCTCTCTCTTGAATGGCGCCAGGCGCCCTACCTACTCTATAGCCTATCACTACAACTACAGTATGACAGCAACCAGACAACTTGACGACCAGCGAATGATGATGTCAACACCAATGCCGACCTCCCACCTCCACCAGGTACGTCTCTCTCTTCACCTCAGGAGGTGCCTTGCCCGTGTGCATCTATCTGCTGCCGAACGCTTCTTCCTGAGTTTGAGTTGTGCCAGTCCTTCCGGCAGATGCGGTCGTCTCGTAAATCAGCGACTTTCCCATTTATCAACCATACCCTGCTGAATCTCAGTGTCGACTTCTTTTGTTGTTCCTCATCCTCCGACCATGATAGTTTGATTTTCCGCCATCTGCAAAGGATTTCAGCCTGTATCATTGTTTTCGTCTCCGCCCAAATCATCTCTCGTGAGTTGGACACTCTTTCGATCGTTCTGCTGCATCTTTCCTTCCATATGACCCATAGGGTCACCTTCCTGATAAGTCCATACCAATTTTTTTCCCCTGTCCGGAGCTGCTCAGGGATGTTAGTCCGAAGGAGAAGTTGGTTGGGTTGTTCAGGGAAAGGGGTCGGGAAAAGGGAGTCCCAGAGGGTCGAGGCTCTCACCCAGTAATCTGTCGCCTCCCTACAGTGTACTAAGTGGTGTACTATGTCCTCTACTGCACCCTCCGTACATACCTTACATTGATCAGAACTGTCGGGGTCTGAACTCTTCCGCCTAACGTGTAACCACTGATTAACTGGTAGTGCCGCGTATATGATCAGCCATTGAAGGCTTCTGATTTTGATTGGTCTGATCGTTTTATAAATCTTCCATGGGATCTGTGTGATGTTGTTGGCTTCCTGACCTATTAGCTTCTGCCGCCTGGCCTTGATCACCGGTTCTGGGTCTTTTGTTTTTAGCAGTAGCTTGTACCCAAATTTGACCGTGTAATCCTGTATGGGGGTGGGCGTCTAAATGTTTGTCCTCTTTTCTGGTTTCCATGCCCACTACATCGGGTCAAACTCCAGGTTGTGTAATGCCGTATCGAATCTGAAGATAAACTTCGGCCATGTGCCTAACACCCTTACTTTTCTGAGCAAGAAGTACTCCATGACTGTCGTTTCCACGTTGGTGTTCATAATCGACGGCATTCCTTTCGTGGAATGTGCAATCGAAAAGGAGGTGAACACCGCTTGAGTAGCTGAGGTGTGAGAATTGGAAGGCCCTAGAGGGAGGATTCTCCTGTACTTTGACCCCCCATTCTCCGCTTTTCCAAGGCCCACCTTGTTTCAGCATATCTTTCCACTCCTGAGGGACAAGATTAGTAATGTATTGCAGGTTGGGTCCTCTTCTATGACAACCCCTCAATCGTGCACTTAGCTCCTGCTCAGACACCCATTCCTTCTTCTCTGCATTCCACAAGTGGCTAATTTTCCAAACTCCATTCTTTACCCATGACAACCATTTGTGGTCTAAGAACAAGGGTTCATCGCTTTCACCCTTCAACCACTCATTGCCAAACAGAGGCTGTCTCAGCACCTCATCCTTAGATTTCGGTCTATTAATCTTTTTTGGCATTATTTCCCTCCAAATCCGGATTAGAGCCGCCCAGTACGGCGTTTGGCGGTTGTCTATGTTCCGCTCTATTTCCCTCCTGGGCCTTCTCCTCACTTTTTTCAAAGACCATTCCTTATTCATTACCCATAATAGACCCGTCATGTTATTTGGCGATGACACCGGGGCTAGGGCCCTTACGATGTCCAGGGCCAGCTTATTCCATGCCGTTTCTGGTTTCGTCAACAGACAGACTATCCATTTGACTTGAAGGGCTCTCGTCTCGCACCTTGGGTCAATGATTCCTAGCCCCCCGTGTATTGGTTTTCTTGAGATATAATGCCATGCTATCTTTGGGATACAACCTTCCTTGTTGGGGTTGCCCGTTCATAGATATGTTCTAGCCACTCGATTTAGTTCCTTTAATGAGTCATCCGGAATTGTCCATGCCAACGCAATGTACCACATCATGGAGAAGACTGAAGTGTTGAGTACCAGGACCCTACCTATCAGTGAGGTGAATGTATTCCCCCATCTTCCTCGCTTATTTAACTGCTTGGCTAACATGTTCTGGGCCATCTGGGGCGCCGGACCTTCCCGTGTCATGAGAATACCTAGGTATCGGGTGGGGGTTTTCGGCGTGTCCCAAGACATTGCAGCCTCAGGTCTTTGCAGGTTTGGGATTTGTTCGTCGGACAGCCACCAACCTATAGTCTTCTTCCAGTTGATTTTCATTTTTGAAGCCAGTTTGAATGCTTCCATTGCCCTAGACAGTGCTTTAAAAGGCGAATCTGATGCTCTAATCAGCACTGTGATGTCGTCTGCGAACAAGATTACTGTCAGAAACTTGAGATGATGAGACGTCCCTACGTTGACCTCTGGGAGTCTGTCTATAGAGGGGGTTTTCCGTAGGAAAGAGGCAATGACCTCCATCACAAATAGGAAGATCGAGGGAGCGAGTCGGTCCCCTTGCCTGACTGAGCGTGATATTGGGTAGCTATCAGACAGGAACTCGTTAATCTRTACACAGCCTGAGGCATCATTGTACAAGACCTGGACCCATTTCCTAAAGATTGGTCCCACCCCCATGCGTTCCATACTTGCGTCCATGAAGTACCAATTGACTTGATCATAAAAGCTTTCTCAAAATCAAAAAAGAGTATGGTTGTGTTTATCCTCCTTTCTCTGACTTTATTAGCTGCTTCGTTTAGAGTCAACACATTGTCTAATATATAGCATCCCGGGGTAAAGCCCGTCTGATCGATATGAAAACATTTGTTTGTTATTTTCATGATTCTGGCAGCCAGGGTCTTGGCAAGGATTTTGTATGAGAGAGTTAGTAAGGAAATAGGTCTATAGTTCCTGATGTCCTCCTTGTCCCCCTTCTTATATAGTAGTGTGACAACACTGCTACTCAGTACGTTGCCTAGGCCCCCTTTCTCATAGCTATCTTTGTAGAAGTACAATAGGTCCCTCCCTAGGTTCGGCCAGAATTTTTCTCAGAATTCCCTCGTCAACCCGTCAATGCCTGGTGCCTTGTCATTGTACATGCTCTTAAGGGTTTGCATAAGCTCATCCAATGATAGGGCCTTGTCCAACTCTTCTGCTTGTTCTGCCGATATCGTTTGTTCTAAATATTGTAACATTCTTTGTCTTGCTTCCAATGTGCTGCTTGGGGTAGGTGTTTGGGTCTTAGTCTGATATAATTCTTGGTAGAATTCTTTAGTAATTTCCATAATCCCTTCACTAGTTTCCGCCGTTACTTCCGGGTTGCTGAGGGTTTTCAGTTTCTCTATTGTGACTGCTCTTGTATTCGGGCAAAGAAGTGTTTCGACATCGATTCGCTGAGTTCATATTCACACATTCTAGCTCTTACTTGCAGACCTTTTAACTCCCACCACTTCCACATAGCTAACTCTTCCCGTGCTTTCTCAAATATGCCTGCATATAGTGTTGAGGATGGGTTGTCCCTCAGGTTGTATTCCGCTATCTTCAACGTCTTCTCCAGGCTTTGTTTCCTCTGCTTCCTTATAGAGGCGAGTTTTCTTGACATGCAGGTTGCTGCCTTCGCGAGTAAAGAGTAGCTCTCTATGAACCACTCCCACCGATCATGGCAGGTAGGCGGCTCATACACCTCTCGCTCCAATATTCCTTTATCCCTTCTTGGAAAGTTTGACTAAGCAAGAGGGAATTGTTCAATTTGTGAAAGCTAGCCTCTTTCCTTACTCGTTGCTCAAAGCAGATAGTGAGCTCGATGGGTTTGTGGTCCAGTCCTGGGTAGGGTGCTAAGGGCAGGATCTCCGCCTCTTTCACCGCCCCCATCATTGTACCTGATACCAGGAAATAGTCTATCCGCGAGAAGGTTGTGTGATGCGCATGGTTCTTATTGACCAGTGAGAAACCTCTCGACGTCGGGTGGAAAATTCTGAAGGGATCTACTAGGCCATGATCTACCATCAACCTCGGGACAGGTAAAGCCTCTTGTGAGTTGTATGTGTTGGAAGATCTGGATATGCGGTCTGAAACCGGGTCTAGGGTTGCATTGTCGTCACCCACCACTATGCACGACATCAGAGGTGGGATCCTGGTCCCCATCTCTAACAGAAAGGATGTTCTTTCAGATGTGTTATTTGGGGCATAAATGTTGAGAAGAAATAACTCTTTGTCCTTCCACTTAAGATGCATAGAACAACATTTGCCCTCATTGACATTGAGGTCCGCTTCCTTGTTCATAACACTTCCTGCCACGTAAAAACGTGAGGAGTTGGGGATCAAGATTGTTGTGCCCTTCGTACTCGAGACGCTATCTGCCGCCCATATTTCATCTTTGATGCCTCCCAACTTCCTTGTCACAAATTTTTTAATTCTGTTGTGTTCTGTTGAAAACGATAGATGGGTTTCTTGCAACATTATCACGTCAGTTGGTGTTTTGTTTTTAATTGTTAGTCCTTGGGCTATGTCATTCCATTTTTCTTCTTTGTCTATGACATTTCCCAATCCATTCACGTTCCAACACCGAATGGTGATCCCTTGATTTTTCCAGTCCCTATGGCGCTCCCTCTCGTTTGCCATTTTCCTGAACCCCTCCATCCTCCAGGTACTACCGGGCTAGATCAGGTTAGCATCGTCCCAAGGAACAGCCTACGAAGGCGCACTCCCCCCCGTGTCCATATCCAAAGGCCCCTCCCCTTCTTGGGAACCTGCCGTGGACTGTCCTAAGCTTGTTATCCTATCCATATCCTGTCGGGAGGGCTCAACAGGTCTTCGCCGTCCTCATTGTTTGAGACTATCCCACCCAGCTGGTCCTCTTCTTCCTTCTCATCATCCGAATGCCATTCCAGCGCCTCGTCATCAGATCCGTCACTCCTGTAAAACCTGTCCCAGTCCACCGAGTATGCTCTCGCATCCAGGTCTCCATCACCATCCAACATTCCTGTAGCAACCAGCAGAGACAATGAGACTGCAGCCAGCTCTGCCGGCAGACTCGAGCCCGCTAAGACACTATATGGCATTGTTGTGAACGTCCTCCAGGGTCTCCATTTCATCCCCGATCTCAACTTTGTCGTGTTTGGCAGCTTGAAAATCAGTGGTGAGAAGGCTTGAGGTGAATGTCTTCCTTGTTCTGCGTGCTGCGAAGCTGAACCCTCGTGCTCTGGTTGAGGATGTGCGTCCTCCTGATCAGAGTTGCATGGCATGGAGTCATACACCCCCAATGGGTACTCCGTGGATATCTTTTCGTGGAGTGCGACAACCACCTTTTGCCCTTCCTCAAAACACGGGATCTGGAACGACACATCTGTTGCAATCTGCCATTCGTCGAATTTTTCCACATACCTTGCAGCAATCAATGGGTGAATATTCATCAGTGTCAATCTTGACGACTTGCCATTCTCCACCACCAGAGGAGCCTGGTCCCTGGCTATGTGTGTGATCGTTGTGAATTCTGTTGAGTATTCCTCATTCAGTTTTTTCAGCTTGTCCGTTTGTGCAATTACCACTGTCGCTTCTTTTTCCAGCTGTGTGTGCGCTGGGTCATCCCCAACGTCCATCTGAGACATATCCAGATTTTTCTTCTTCTTATTTTTCCCCGACCTCCATTTCTTAGGGCGCAGATCTTGGAAGTCGTCCTTAGACTCTGGAACAATTCTATCTCTGTCCTTCACCCCCTGTTCCCTTGCTCTCTTTTTTTCAGCCTATCTGAACGCTGTGTATTTCAATAATTCTTCCGCCTTAACCTTCCTGAGGACGTCAAATTGGTTATTAGGTTTCCTTGATTACCCCAACCCCTTCTTGACACTTCTCTGAGATCTTTCTTCATGCTTGAGACAAGTTGCACGAATATCAAAAGCATGTTCCCTCTCCCTCTTCACCTTCTCCACATAATCCCTGAGCCAGTGTAGAGACTTGTGAAGATCCTCCTCACTATCCGTCGTTGTGTTGTCCCCTTCACCTTTGCTCACCTCTCTTGTCTTCTCGGACCCTGTTCCTTTCGAATCTGTTCTCATTTCCTCTCCTTTCTTGTTTGCAGGAAGGCTTACCACCTCCTCTTTCCCTTCCGCATCCACTGTCTTCCGCCTCTTTGGGCCCCCTTCCTGGATCACTTGTATGTTTCCATTTTCCATCGTCCTTTTGTTCTCTGCTTGAGCCCATGTTCTGGTTTGAAATGTTGTTTGTTCCATCTTTGTCAGCATGCTTCTGTAACTCGTCGAGTCCTTGCTAAATTCCAGTATTGCTTGTTCTCTTGCTGCTTCCAGATCCCATAGCAAGTCTTCTCTGTCTTTCTCTTCCTTGATAACCCGTGAATCGATCAGTGGTGATTTTCGACGGGTTGCCCGATACTTTCCCTGTGGCTCTTTTCTGCCATCTGCTGTCAGTTGGGGGGAAGACGTTGGTTTTTAAACTACCGGTTCCTGGTCGGCATAATGCCAGACCCAGTCCGGATCCTCCAAGTTGTCGTCAAACACCCACCCGTTGTAGTTGCTGTCCGGAATGGACCAAAGTCCCGGGGCATCCTCCACCTCTACTAACATGTTAGGGAGGAGTTTTCGTTCCTTCGGTTGATTCGGGTATTTGGGGCAGTTTGGGCCTGTTCCCATGTGTCCCCTTTCTCTGCAGAGAAAGGAGATCGGGGAGGATTTGGTCGACACTTTGACTTCTACCAATTTGCTTTCAATTTGAAATTTCCAGGTGTGTGGGAAGACCGCGGGTTTTGTCCGTCTTCACCTCAAGCACTGCCGTCATGGATCCGCAGTGTGGAGCCAGAAAATCCGGTGAAGTGAGTACCCATTTTAGTATCCTATTCACTGGGTATTGCCTTTCCAATCGGTCCACCAGCAAGCCGTGTAGGCCCGGTTGCACATTGTCAAATTGCACCCAGAAGTTTTCTTTTTACAGTGTCTGTTTGTACGAGACTGGAAATACCTGGTTCTGTCTCTGGGAAGACAGTTTTTTCCATTTGTTGATTGTGCACACAGAGTCGTGGCAGTTCCTGGACTGTAACTCTGACGCCACATTTGCATGTTCCTCTCGTATAAACAGTGCCATGATGTTGTTCCGACCCAGAATCTGCAATGTGAACCTCTCGCCCGATTGCTCGAGTTTCAATTCTTTCTTGATTATCCATTTCCTTTTCTCGGGTGGTTGAAGGTTTGCTCCATTCCGTGCAAAATTGAAGACCACGCCATGCCTTTCGTGTAAGGCATCCAATTCTGCCACCTTTTCTTCTGGATACTTCTAAATAATAATCTCTTCTTCTTTGCCTTCCACCTTTTGGATTTCTGTGATTTGTTCCCCTTGCACTTTGGTTTTCTCTATCAGGAATTTGAGTGCTTCATTGTCGATGACATTGCTGCATTTTTCCCCAGTTCCTTGACTAAGTGTGGTCGTGTTTTGGAGTGGGGACGCCATTCTTATGGCTGGTCGAAATCAGACCTGCCCTGTATTCTATCCTCTATCCTTTCCATTCGCTTCTGGTTCTAACGAGAGCCTCGGTTGAAGACAGGGGGCGGACAATCCCACCGGCCCAGGAAAGGAGAAGTCGGGATCAGGACTACGATCAGAAGGAACCGGAGACAGGATGAGAATGGGGGTCGGAAACGGGGTGGAATCGGCATCGGGGTCGGGATGGGTATGGGGGACAGGATCAGGGATTGGAATAAAACACCTTGAGACACGCTGGGTGGGATGGCGTCGGATCTGGGTCAGTATGGGACGACGTCGGATCGAGGTCGGGGTGGGATGGGATGCCGTCGGATCTGGGTCAGAGTGGGGTGACGTCAGATCGGGGTCAGGGTGGGATCGGGTCGGGATCGAGATCAGGGTCGGGGGTGGGATCGGGTCGGGATCGGGAGCGGGGTCGGGGTGAGATCGGGTTGGGATCGGGATCGAGGACGAGGTGAGAGCAGGTTCGAAGGAATCAGAATCGGGATTGTGGTGGGACCAGGTCGAAAAAAGGGATCCGGTTGGAACGGAGATGGGGACAAGAGGACGTATAAGAGATGATGGAAAGATGGTAGGAGGGTCGGGGTCGAAAATAGTAGACGAGAAATCGGGGAGGGATCAGGTGTAGGAGGAGGGAGGGAAAGGATAGAACGGGAGGTTGGGGAAGGATGGTGTCGGATCTTGGTCAGGATGGGACGACATCTGATCGAGGTCGGAGTGCGATGGGATGCCGTCGGATTGGGGTCAGAGTGGGGTGACGTCAGATCGGGGTAAGGGTGGGATCGAGACGGGATCGGGGTCGGGGTCGGGGGTGGGATCGGGTCGGGATCGGGAACGGGGTCGAGGTGGGATCGGGTCGGGATCGGGATCGAGAACGACGTGAGAGCAGGCTCGAAGGAATCAGGATCGAGATTGCGGTGGGACCAGGTCGAAAACGGGATCCGGTTGGAACGAAGATGGGGACAAGAGGACGTACAAGAGATCATGGAAAAATGGTAGGAGGGTCGGGGTCGAAAACAGTAGATGAGGAATCGGGGAGGGATCAGGTGTAGGAGGAGGGAGGGAAAGGATAGAATGGGAGGTTGGGGAGGGATGACGTCGGATCTGGGTCAGGATAGGATGACGTCGAATCGAGGTCGAGGTAGGGTGGGGTGATGTCAGATCGGGGTCAGGGTAGGATCGGGTCGGGATCGGGATCGGGGTCGGGGATGGGATCGGGTCGGGATCGGGGACGGGGTTGGGGTGGGATCGGGTCGGGATCGGGATCGAGGACGAGGTGAGAGTAGGCTCGAAGGAATCAGGATCGGGATTGCGGTGGGACCAGGTCGAAAACGGGATCCAGCCGGAACGGAGATGGGGGCAAGGGGACGTACAAGAGATGATGGAAAGATGGTAGGAGGGTTGGGGACGGAAACAGTAGATAAGGAAACGGGGAGGGATCAGGTATAGGAGGAGGGAGGGAAAGGATAGAACTGGAGGTTGGGGAGATGGTTAGGGGTGGGGGTGTGAATCTAGGAGGCGATAGAATGAATTTCGTTCGTGAGGTAGAAGTTAATAATTGTCGGTTCTCACTCAATGCGAACGCTCCCTGTCTTTTGTTCCTGGATCGCTTGCTCGACCACATTCAGGTGCCTCAATGTTTCAATTCGATAGCTTTGTGTGCGTCGCCCTTCCCTTCTTCGACACTTGAACCACTTTCCGCTATGGTGGGAGTACACTGGATATTGACCTTGTACAACTTGATGACTAAAAGGAAGTTCCTTCCTCACTTTCAATCCCACTCTCTCTTCCTTCCGCTCGTACTTCCCGATTCCTCCTTAGTCAACCTTTCAGTCGTTCGCGTCACTTCCCGAATGATCTTCCTCGGTCGCACTCTCGTTTTCCCTCCCGCGCGCGTTTTCTCCGATCGCTCTACGCTTTTTCCTCCCTCTTTTTTCTTCCCTTTCTCTCTCTCCCCCTCTCTCTCCCTCTCCCTCTCTCTCTCTCTCTCTCTCTCTCTCTCTCTCTCTCTCTCTCTCTCTCTCTCTCT